TGGAGGGGGGTGGAGGGGGGTGGGGGTTGAGGTGGAGAACTGCATGTGAATTAAGCTGGAAGCAGGAGAAGGGAGAGTAGGGATTTCTCTAATCTTTGGTGGTGGTTCTGCTGAAAATAGGGAATGTAAAGATGGTATGTGGGGCTGTGAACCTCGTCTCTGGTGGGTGAGCAGGACTCCTGGCCAAGCAGTTACCTGTGCAGTGTCTCACTAGGATACTCTGCTGCAGTTTCTGTGGCTTCCCAGAGTTGCCACTGTGAACCAGTATGCCGTGGGAACTCAGGGAAGCTCCTGCTATTCTGGCTTTCCTTTGCTTTTGAGCCTCCCTCTTGGAAAGATTGTATGGGAATCCCCTTTAGAACATGCAGACAGAAAAGTCATCATTTACAAGGAGAGGAAAATAACTGTAACATTTGGTCCTTACTGTTTTACACCCTGGTTCCAGGCAATGCTGTGAGCACATTGGTCCCCTAGTAAAGAGATCCTTACTTGGGATCAAGAATATGTACTCTTTCCAGGAGCCTGAGCCTTTAAGATAGGTAGTTGGCATGGGGTTTTACCTTACTGGCTTTTGTCACTTCTTGTCAAGGAGTGAAGGCAGTGGTTGTTCCATTCTCAACATCCAGGGATACAGCTTTCTGATAGGGGAAGAGAAAGACTGTGCCCTAGAGTGGAATGAAACAAGGTTCGGATCAGGGCTCTGGATCCAGACTGCAAGTTCATAATTCAGTTCTATCATTTCTTGCTGTGTGGCCTTGGGGAAATCACTTAATCACTCCGTGCTTTACTTTTCTCTTCTGTAAAATGAGGATATAAAACCTCAAAAACAGTAGTGTTGGGAGGATTCATTGGGATGGGGATGAAAGGAGCACTGATCCCAGAGTCTGGTGCAGTGCCAGTCCTGAGGAGTGGTTCTGCTATCATTGGAGTTGACACAGCAGGTGGAATCAACTTCCCAGAAGCCCAGGGCCTCCAGGGCCTGATGGGGATATATTTAGAACCCTTGAGAGGGCCACATGGTGTCTATGACAAAGGCATCTTGGATGGAGCCTGTGGCATGTTCTGGGGGGAGGGTGATACACACATCCAGATCTGCAGGTGAACAAACGCCAGCCCTGTTTCCTAGTTGCATGGACTGTGAGCTCATCTCTTAACCATCTCAGCTCTGTTTCCTTAGTTGAATGGTGGCTTGGCTGTCCTTGGAGGGTTGCTGTGAGAATCAGTGACAGCATGAAATGTGCAGTAGGCTCTCCCCTTTTTGATGGCCATTCAGCTTGCTGCAAGGTATGGGGAGGGGTTTTCATGCCAGACAGGGTATGGACAGGCTACACCATCGCTCTGTCCATGCAAATGAACCTGGGAATGGCCACAGGAAGCTGAGGTATACTGTCATCCCTGGAGTGTGCACTTGCAGGTGATGGGGGAGGGGTGAGCCTGCATCTGAGTCTCTGGCTTAGGGTATAAACCCAGCTAACGCAGCAAACTTTGGCAGCAGGTGGTGGAACTAGGACTGTCTTTTGGGAGGTATCTGGGCTTCCTGTCACAGAGGAAAAGAACTTGCCTTGGTGCAGGTTTTTGCTGTAATGGGAGGCAGTTTCTAGTGTGTCAGAATGCACTGACCAGAAAAGACTTGATACATACAGCATTTCCAGGGGCCCATCAGGGAAGGTGTAGCCAGTGCTGCCAGGACCCTGGGAAATGGGGCCTCTGAAATGAGGGACTCTGATGGTATATGGATGGTATGCAGTAAAGAAAGGAACAAAGAAGGCACTGGTGGATGCTAGAAATCCAGTCTTCACCCACTACAGTTGTGGGGAAGAGCAGCTTCAGTAAGGCTGTGAAGGTTGTGGCTGCTAGCCTCTGTGCCTGGGCTCCAGGAGACTTACATGAGGGAGATACTGGTAAAATTCCTGTCTGTAAGACATGGAGTAACTTGGATGTCATGAACATTGAAGCTTTCTAGGTGAGTGTTTGAAATGGTGGGGAAACCAGGTGTCCTTAAGATGGTGAAAACATCTTTGAGAAAATAAAGATTTATATGAGTGTGTTTGCCTACGTTTGAGTGTGGCATGTGTGCGAGTGTGCTGGGCAATGGGGATAGGATGTGTATAAACATATCTGTATGTGTATGTGCACGTGTGTGCATGTGTATGCCTGTGCTTAAGCATAGAGTGTGCAAGTATGTGCTAGGCAATTGGTAGAGCATGTATGGCCATATCTGTGCGTATATGTATGTGTTTGTATGTGTGCACCTACATTTGAGTGTAGAGTGTGTGCATGTTGGTGCTAGGTGATGGGTGTAGGACGTGTGTGGACATATTTGTGTGTGTGTGTGTGTGTGTGATGAGCACTGTTGGGTCACTGTCCATCAGGCCTGTTCCTTTTCTCCCTGAGAGCTCCTTTATAGTTAGGCTAAAGGGTTCAAAAGTGCTACAGTTATATAAAAGGATTTACAGACCACCCCTCTGCAGTACCTCTGTGCCAGGCAGTGTTACACAGACCTCACTTAACTCCCTTTTTATAGGTCAGGAAGCTGGGGATCAGGACAGTAACATCAGTCATTCAAAGTGACACAACTTTTAGGTGGCAGAACAGGGACTGAACCAATCTACACTGCTGTCCTGTCCTGCTCCTGTCCAAGGAGGGTAAGCACATGACCAAGAAGGAAGTGCCTCCTCACCACCCAAGATACCAGCCCTGAAAACATGACTTTTAGCTGAATCAGGAAACCTGTGTGATCCCAGGCGGTTGTGAAAACGTAAGGGGAAGACCTGGAAGCGGCTAGAGAAGGCTTGGAGGTCCCAAGTTGACACCTGGGCCTCAAGGAGAGGACCCTGTGGGGAACCCTAGTTAGCATTAGGCCTTGAGAGTAAAAGTCACGTCCCTCCTGCATGTTCCTGTGGCTTGGGTTCTTCCAATATGGCGGTGTCCCATCCTGGGGTCTGAGTCTGGCAGCGCACATCTGCCCTTGTCTCCTGCTATATGGTCTAGCCTCAAAGAAGGGAATGGGCAGAGGCACAGACCATATCTTTTGGGATCCCCGGAAGGAATAGAGAATGGATATTTGGCCAGTGTGAGTTCTTGGTTAAGCAGGAGTGAGACCTCTGGGGTAGCCCCACCTGTGAGAACTCAGCATAAAGTGGCAGAGAATCCCACAGATGCTGCAGGCCCAGCCAGGACTCATCTAGGTCATTTGGGGGTGTAGATCTGGCCTGCCTAGGACTCAGGTACTCTGACAAGGGCTTCCTTTTACCAGCCTGCTCAATGACTTCATACAACTCTTTGGAAGAAGCAGACAGTCCATGACAGTCCCCAAGACTCTTCAAAGGCTACTTCTGCTCGCTCCCACCCTCATATGCCTCCAACACTCACCAAGGCCAGCTCTGGGAACCAGGGGACTCACCCAAGACAGCTGGAACACTGTCCAGTGGAGTGAAATTTCAAAGGTCACTCTGCAATAAGAGACCAGGTCCCAGTACTGTTACAGTGTCTCTGGGGACATTGACCCATGTGTTGAGCCTGCTTAGATTGGGATGTGGCAATACAGTGCCCTCATTATAAGTGACAGGGCTTCTGAAACGAGAGGCCTCTACCACCCTTGTAATTGGGGGCAAATTATTTAGTCTCCCTGAGTCTCAGTTTTCTCCTCGGTGTGGGTGTTCTCATTGAGCTATCCAGCTATGGCAGAGGTTAGCCCACATTGACAATGTTAGCCACTCCCACCCACCCTGGCTTTGAGACCAGTTTTATTGGTATATAATTTCCATAATGCACAATCAAGCTTTGAAATCTATACAGTTCAGTGATGTTTGTTTGTTTGAGACGGTCTCTCTGTAGCTCCAGGTGGCCTGAAACTTGCTATGTAGACCAAGCTAGCCTCAATCTCCCAGAGAGCCACCTGCCTCTGCCTCCTGAGTGCTGGGATTAAAGGTGTGCACCACCATGACCAGCTCAGTTCAATGATTTTTAATAAATAGTATTCACAGGGTTGTGTAACCATACCATAATCAGCAACTTCAGAATATTTTCATTATGCCAAAACGCCTGCATCTTATGCTGCCATATCCATCTACCCTCCCCTCAATGGTCCCCAGCCCCTGGCAACCATTAACCCTTAACATACTTTTTGTCTGAACTGGTGTCTCTCGAACATCATATATAACTGTAGGCATCTGCTATGTAGTCTTTTATGGCTTCATTCACTAATATAATGCTTTCATCTGTGTCACCTTTTGATGCCTTGCAGGGAGTGCTAGATTCTTTCCTATAGGGGTACGAACCTTCACTATAGTTCTAGCAGCCCATGGTTGCGAGTGCAGAATAGGTACACTGGAGACAGCCCTCTTTACCTGTGTAGCATGTGGATTTTCGCCTTCCCCAGTCAGCACATTGAAGCTATGGAGGCTGGGTCTTTCAGGAAGTGTGGATCCTGCCTGCAGTTTATTCCCAGTATTTCCTCTGACCTCAAGTCAGAGCTGGCGGGGGAGGGGTGGAAACTGTACAAAGCCTCTACTGATCTGCACCCCCCTGGGACCCTCTTTCCGGTAGGGAGTGGAGAGAAAGACAGAAAAGCATCTATTTGTTTTTAATATTGCCCAACTCCCTAACCCTTTACTAAGTTCTGGTGAAAGTCGCTTCATTTCTGATCTGACTCTCTTCCCTTGAGATGCAGGGTCATGGGACTCTTCTCCTGGGGGGCAGCTGATGGGGAAGTCCACAAGTGCTTTGGAGTTGTCCAGTGTGAAGTTGGGCTTTGTTTGGTTTTCCTCCAGCTGGAGCTGGGCCAGTGTAAAACTTGCAAATCCTTTAGGAGGCGTTCAGCTGCAAGTAATGCAATCCCAGGCAGAAGCGCCTTAAGCATATGGGAATTCATCACACTTTCCAGACAGTTCATAGGTGGACCCTGTTGACTCTGTTTCTCAGATCTCCATGGGAAACTGGGAAGATGTGCTTTGTTACGACTTACCTGTTCCTGTCCTTGAGGCTGGCTCAGTGCCTGGTTTAGGAGTGGAACCCAAAATTCAAGTTCTGTTCAAAGCTGCTGGGAGACTGATGATGCGGCTCATGCTGGAGCTACTGCCTAGGGTCAGGCCCTGTCCTGCCTTGCACACACACTCTGTCTCCATTTCCCATCCCTCTCCCTTCACTCCATTCTAGGCCACATGGCAGCCTAGCTCCTACAGGCCACTCCTGCAGCCCAGGGACAGGTACCTTACAGCCACCCAGTCTCTCTCTCTCTCTCTCTCTCTCTCTCTCTCTCTCTCTCTCTCTCTCTCTCTCTCTCTCACTCTCTCTTTCTCTCCACTGTGCTAAGCCATTTCCACTGTCTGGAGTGTGCTCTTCACCTCGCCCAATCCTTTAGGACACTGCTCAGATGTATCTTTAAAAAGTTTTTTCCAGATTCATCTGAGGCACATGGACTTCTTCCACATGTGTGAGGCATTGTACCAGCACCATATAAAGAGAGGACAGACAGGGTCCTGCCCTTAAGCTCCAGGCTACTACACAAAAAAGTCCCTCTAGGACAAGGGCTTTGCTAACCCTTGAGCAGAACACTTGTCAGTATTTACTGATCCTGCTTTGACTCATGGCCCGTCCCCCCAGAAAGTATAGGTCATGTGCTGGGTTTTCCAACCTCAGGTGCAGCTAGATAGATAATTACTCTTGTGTTTTAGTTCACTGCATTTTATCACCATTGCAAAACTCCTTCCCCATCCTTTAACCTAATCCTTCCTCCTCTCCATTTCCTCTTATGGCATCTGCTCTGATTTGTTTAACCTAAACGTGTATCCCTCCTTAAACTGGCTGCACTGTTGATGTGTTTGTGGTTTGCATATACAGTATTGTATGAATGATTCTATTTGGTCACTTCCCTTTTTACTCAATGCTGTGTTTGTAAGATCTTTTTGCATTTTGTGTGCATCTGCTCTGTCATTTCTGACTGCTGCATAGCATTCTGTACCCATATATGCCACATGTACTTACTCACTCTCCCTCTTGATGGACACTGGGGTTACCTCTGAGGCACTCTACTGAAAATATTACTATGGCAAGCATCCATGCACATTACAGCCTCTAAATGCCATGGATATTTCCCTGATATGTAGACCTCAAATAGGATTGCTACATCATGAGGCAAACACAGACCTAGTTTAAGTAGATACTGCTCTGTTACTTTTCAGATGACTGTACCAGTTTATACTTAAGGGTTCCCGTCTCCCTACATCCCTCCAAACTTGAACTACCCAAAGACCATCCAGACTGTTGGCACCCTTCCCCACAAACCAATCCAGCTTCATTGGATGGTATGGTAAATTCTAATCTTTTCATATCATTCCTTCCTGCCCTGTCTCCTTTGCCTACAATGAATGTCCTTTTTATAATTTCCCACCCAGGTCTCACTAATGGGTTCAGAAACCTAAAACCTTCTCCATTATCTTAAGAACTCAGCCAGCTTTTCAAAACTAAGCCTCCTTTGTTTTCCCACTTGATCTGAAATAAGCCCCTCATCCTCTTTTTTCTGCTTTGCCTGGGAGCTTCCCTGGCCATTTTGGTAGGTTGTCCCAGGAAGGCCCAGAGAGGTGCTATTTCACTTGGCCTTGTCCATGGCGGATAGAACCACAGACCTCCCCTGATGGCATCACCATCTCAGTGGCCACGTATGAGATTTAGCTCTGTTTTAGTTGTGGCCTTCCTTGCAGATGGAAATATAAATTGGGTTTAGTTACTGGGAATAATTATAGGAAAAAAGAATCCTACCTAACACTACCCAGCTTCTGGCTCGAGCCATTCCACTGATCTTTAGTTGTAATTGTTCTCTGATATCTTACATTGGTGGTATTTATTTTATTCTATATGTATGAGTGTTCTGCCTGCGTGTATGTAAGTGCACTCATGTTGTGCAAACCTCACAGAGTCAGAAAAGGGCATCTGATCCCCCAGAACTGGAGTTACGGATGGTTGTTAGTTGCCATGTGGCTGGGAATCAAACTCACATCCTCTGGAAGAGCAGACAGTGCTCTCAACTGCTGAGCCATCTCCCCAGCCCCTTTTTCAAAAGATTTTTTTTTAATTATCTATTTTTATTTTATGTGTGTGAGTGTTTTGCCTGCATGTATGTAAGTGTACCCATGTTGTGCAATGCCCATGGAGTTCAGAAGAGGGTGTCAGATTCCCTGGAACCGGAGCTTAGACAGTTATTAGCTGCCATGTAGGTGCTGGGAACCAAACCCGAGTGTTCCACAAGACCAACCAGTACTCTTAACGCTGAGCCATCTCTTTAGTCCCCTATTTTTTACTTATGTGTCTGTGTCTGTGTATGGAGCGTATGACACGTGTGTGGGTGACTGTAGAGGCCAGAAGTGGGCATTGCTTTTGGAGGTTTGTGACTCTGAATGTGGGTGCTGGAAACAGAGTTCAGGTCCTCTGGAAGATCAACAAACACTTTTTGCTGAGCCATCTCTTCATTCTGGTTCTGCTTTTATTTTGCCCCATTTCAGTGAGGCTTAAATATGGTGCTAGGTCCTGTGTTACATGCCTAGTATACTCTGAGCTGTGGGCAGGCAACACTAGAGTCTTTTCCTCCCTGCCCATCTCCACCCTTCCCATCTCCCTCTTGTTCCACAGACCTTTCCACTTAGCAGGTGCTCAGTAAATACTTGCTGGGTGGTTGACATGGATTACATGTTAATCCATCATCTTCAAAGGCTAGGACCAGACCATTTAAAAAAATAAACGAAACCTTTCTTTTAGAAGGGGCATTACCTCCTTCACCCTCACAAATGTTCATCTTAGTCTCATTTATTGCTTTTTGAGGTAGGGAGTCTTAGGAGAGTGATGCAGAAAGCCCCTTTAGCTTAAGAGAAGCATCATAAATTATACTCATTAAGAAGGGATCGGATGCCTGCATGTGTCCCATAAGTAGGTTAGGAGCACATACTCAAAGATGACTTGTCTGTTTGCCCCCCACCCATCTGCAGGGCTGACCTTTCCTGGCAGTGTGTGGTATCCTACTGATTGCCATTAAATAAACAATCCCTTGAAATCTAACATGAAAAAACTGCTGCCTATGTATTGTATCAGGAAAACTAAATATTATGGAAAAGTCCAAATATTTCCACTGTGTTAAGAAAATAAGAACCCGGCTGTATGGAACTTCCTACTCAGTGGGCAAAAGACTCAGTGGAGACTTCAAAGAGGGAAGAGCTGTCAGGACAGCCTGTGACGCAGTGGACACTGGCTCCATTAAAGATGAAAGCATGTGTGCTTCCCACATGTGACTGCAGAGGTTATGGCATCATCTCTCACCTGGGAAATGAATTGGTGCACAATGTACTTAGATCTCAGCTCCTCCCTGGTCTGCTAGGGATTCAGGCTGGGGGTAACTTTAGGAGGAGGGAGCAGGAAGTGTGAAAC